ACTGTTTATTTAGTAAGAATAGGGATATTTTCTCACACAACCATAATGCAATTACCAACTTTAGTAAACAGTTAGCACTAATACAATACTTTTATTGAGTCAATTGGTATAAATTGACTCAATAAAATCCTTTATCTTTAGTTTTCTCCTCCCTCAGTACAGAATCCAGCCTAGGATCAGGTATTTCATTTAGTTGTCATGTGTCTTTTTTTTTTTTTTTTAAACATCTTTATTCTCAAGTCCATTCTCTACATCTGCATCTTTATTCCTGTCCTGCCCCTAGGTTCTTCATAACCCCTTTTTTTTTTTTAGAGTCCATATATATGTGTTAGCATATGGTATTTGTTTTTCTCTTTCTGACTTACTTCACTCTGTATGACAGACTCTAGGTCCATCCACCTCACTACAAATAACTCAATTTCATTTCTTTTTATGGCTGAGTAATGTTCCACTGTATATCTGTGCCACATCTTCTTTATCTATTCATCTGTCGATAGGCACTTAAGCTGCTTCCATGTCCTGGCTATTGTAAATAGAGCTGCAATGTCATGTGTCTTTAATTCCTTTAATCTGAAATATTTCCCTAGCTTTTCTTTGATTTTTGTGACATTGACATTTTCTAGGAACACAGTCCAACTTTTTAAAATAGAATGTTATATATTTATTTGTTTATCTATCTGCCTATGTATTTATTAGTAGGGACTTACTGATTCCTACTTTTTTCAATGGTTTATTATTCAATGCTATACTTAATTATTTTGGTGCTCAAACTGTACCAGATTTAACCAGTAGAAATCCCTTCAAGGTGGTTCCTGTGTCCTTGTGAATGCCCCTCATCATTTTTTTTTCATGCATTTCTTTACTTTCTGGCCAAATGTTCCAAGCTCATCATGTACCTACCTTGTCCCAGCTCTGGAACTGGCCATTTCTTTGAGGAGCTCTTGGAATTAGAGGCCAAGATTTGAGTTGCAGGTGCTCATTGCTACTGGGGTGTCTCTGCTTCTAGGCCCTTTCAGTAGACAAAGCTAGAAAAACTATACATGTATTTATACACATACATACAAACATAATACCATATACATATTATATATACGTACACATGCACAATACATACACATGTATACATATTTATGTGCACATGTGTATGTGTATATGTATACATACATATGCATATGTGTGTATGTATGTATACATGAAATCATGAGTTCACATTGATGCCTCTAATTCCAATCCAGCCCCCCAGGGTTCCTTCTTGCCTTCCCCATTCCACATTTTGATGTCCATTTCCCATATGGGACTTCTCACTCCCAATAGCATTAACACATTTCTTCATTTGCCCAATGCCACAGTACATTTAAAATAGTTTCCAAATTTCTTGACACATCTTACCATGAGATGAATAAGATTATATACTAAGAAGAGTTCGGAGAGTTCGGGAGTTGATTACAATTGTCCTCCACTCAACCTCAGCCAAGACAGAAGATAAATAGTCAAACAACGTGTTCATGAGTTACTTAGATTTGTTCTTTCTTTTGTGTGGTTGAGATACAATTGGATTCATTCGTTTCAGTTTGTTTTGTTTTAGGCTTTTCTTTCCCTTCCCATCTTGTTTTAATTTTATTTCTGAATATGCGGAAGATTAACATGCTTCCAAAAGTCAAACTATACAAAAAAGTATTATTCACATAGAAGTGTCACTCCCTCCTGAATCACTTCCATCCCCTCCCTCTGGTAAGTAATCAAGTTTATTGCTTTCTGATTTATCTTTCCTGTGTTTCTTTTGGTAAACAATAAGATATATGTATGTTTCATTTCCGTTCCCCTTTTACACGAAAGATGGCATACTATATATCCTCTTCTGTACTTTCCATTTTTTCAGTTAGTATTTCCTGGAAATCATTTGATACTAGTTCAGAGAAAACTCCCTTATTTTGTTTTTTGGGTTTTCTTCATACAGCTGCACAGTACTCCACTGCATGTATATACCATATTTTATTCAACCCATCTCCTATGCTTGGAGATATAGGTAGTTTCCAATATTTTACAATTACAAAAAATGTTGCAGTGAATAACCTTGTGCATATATATTTTCATACTGTTGGAGGTGCACCTTCAGGGTAAATTCCTAGAAGTTGGATTTCTGTGGTCAAGGGATAAAGCACATGCAATTTTGCTAAATACTGCCAAATTCAGGGGGTGGCACCATTTTGGATTACTGCCAGCCACGAATGAGAGGACCTGTTTCCTCACAGCCTCATCAACAGAGTATATTGTCAAGCTTTATAGTTTTGCCAATCTGACAGATAAGAAATGATTTCTTTATAGTTTTAATTTGCATGGCTCTTAAATGAAGTTGAACATCTTTTCATGTTTAGGACCATTTATATTTCTCTTTTTGTGAACCACCTATTTCTGAATTTTGTGCTTTTCTATAGGAATTTTGGCCCCTTTCCCCCCTTAATTTTTAAAATTACTCTCTATATTAGGGATATTAGTCTTTTTTTTTTTTTTTTTTTTTTGCGGTACGCGGGCTTCTCACTGTTGTGGCCTCTCCCGTTGCGGAGCACAGGCTCCGGACGCGCAGGCTCAGCGGCCATGGCTCACGGGCCCAGCCGCTCCGCGGCATGTGGGATCTTCCCGGACCGGGGCACGAACCCGTGTCCCCTGCATCAGCAGGCGGACTCGCAACCACTGCGCCACCAGGGAAGCCCCCGCTATTAGTCTTTTATCTGTCATACGTATTACAAATATTTTCTCCCAGTTTGTTTCGTTTGTTTGGTTTTTTAGTCTAGTCAAACTTATCAATCTTTTCTTATCTAGTGTCTGGATTTTTAGATCATTAGGAAGGCTTTATTTACACCCAAGTTGTATAGGAATTTACCCATGCTTTCTTCTGGCACTTGTATACTTTCATTTTTGCATTCAGATCTCTAGTTCATTTAGAGTTTGTTCTTATAGAGGGTACAAAAATGAATCCAATTTATACTTTTCTAAATGGCTATCAGTTTGTGCCAACACCATTTGTTAAAAGATCATCTTTGCCCCAGTGATAATAGACATCACCCTTGTCAGATACTGGATGTCTACTTGTAGCTGTGTTTATTTCTGGACTTTCTCTTCTATTCCACTGCTCTGTTTGTCTAGCCATGCACCGGTAAATACCATATTGTTTTAGTTACAGAGGCTTAGCATATGCTTTAATATGTCAGGGCTAATGCCCCCTCAGAGCTCCTTCTTTCCAGTGTTTTCCTAGCTAGTCTTGGGCATTTGTTTTTTCACAGGAACTTTAATATCAATCTGTCTCTTTTTAAATGCTCATTGGTATTTGTATTAGGGTTCCATTACATTTATAGATTAACTTAGGGAGAACTGACATCTTAATCAAACTGAGACGTTCTGAGAACGAGGCATGTTATTCCTTTTGTGCAAGTTATTGGTACTTTGAGATCTGATGTTCTCTCTCGGACATTTACTTAGGTATCTTAGCTCATTAAATCAAATAATATTTATTGAGCAGCTATTACGCCCTTAACGCTATATTAAGCACAATAAAAGTAAAGAAGTAGGTCTGTCCTCCAGCAGTTTAGAATCTCACGAGAGAGACAGGCTAACACACCTAAAGCATAGCAAGCAGCGCAAGAGCCCACGGAAAGAAGCTCCCCACAGTGTGCAGCTTGACCATCCATGCTATGCAAGCTCAAAGGAAAGGGAGAGAAATGAGGGCTAGAATAACAAGGCAAGAATTTTGGCTGAATTGAGGCTGGAATTGTGTGCCCTGAAGGTCATGTAGGATTTACATGGGGTGACAAGGAAGAAAAAGGAGTCCCAGTGAGGGGCACCCAAGTAAAAGCTCAGAGGTGGACTGAGCATGACACTTCACAGGGCAGAAAGTCCCCAGCCAGACCCTTGGCTGGAAAACTCTCTTCAAGCCTCAGAGTTACGTCTCAGTGTTAACAGCCCCCAAATCCTCATTATGTACTTATTAAAATAATATTAGTGAACATCTACTAGTTTCCAGATACTAGTCCTTTAGAGTGCTAATTTCTGTACATCACTATCTTTTCTGGGAATGGTCTAGAGCTGAGCTGTCCAGTAGCCCAGTTTAGCCACATGCAGATATGCAGTCCTCAAAGCCCTCGGCAGAGTGCAACTGAGGCACTGGATTTCTAATTTTATTTCATTTTAATTTAAATTTTAGAAATGGAAGCAGGATTGCCCTGGCGGTCCAGTGGTTAAGACTCCGAGCTTCCAGTGCAGGGGCGATGGGTTCAGTCCTTGGTCGGGGAACTAAATCTTGCATGCCACAAGGTACGGCGAAAAATAGTAAATAAATAAATAAAAATGGAAACAGTGTAAATTATTTTTCCATTGAACCCAACTTTATCGTTTGGGGGAGGACTGCATTTGACTTTGACGACAGCACTGCATAAGATATCATTGTTGTATTGCAGGGTGTGTGTCCATTTTACTTTTTTTAATGTGGCTACTAGAAAATTTTTAGTCATGTCATATCTCATTTCTCTTTGTCAGCACTGGTCTAGGGTCTTACAACCCCATGTGGTCTGGTCACTTTCACGTGGGAGCTATCCCCAACCTTCAGAATCTGATCGTTTACTAAGATGCCCAGGTGATTCTTATGCATAGTAATCAAAGCACTGATCCAGATGACAGAGAAGACACCCAGGCCTCTGATAGGTACCCCCGGAGTGGCCCCAGTCCTTCTGAGAGTGGGGGGATGAGGCAGAGGGAGCAGCAGGGAGATCCCTGCTGCCACTGTGATGTCACAGAGGCAACCTCCTGTGTCAGCCAGCCCCACTTACATGGGTGTCCTGGCCGCAGGATATCCTCTTCATCATCTCCAGCCCACCTCACACCACCTGACCCCTCTGCTGGCAAGAGGGGCCTTGATTCATCTTCAACTCCATACTCATCCCACGCAACCGATTAAGACAGAGCAGAAGAAACACTGAAACCCCTTTGCCTCAGAACTTCAAAAGTGAATGAGCAATTCCTCTCAGCTGACTCAAAATGTTTGTCTCACCCAGAAGGTAGGTACCTTGAATTCAGGACTATCTCATAATACGGTACTCTTAATGTTGGACTGGTAATAGGTGTTATACAAATTCATCAATTTATTTCACACGCTCAAGGTAAGGAGCTTGAGAACACACGGTAGGATTATCCGAAATGCAGTAAAAATTTGTTACTCAAGCCCAGTTTTTATTGATAAACCTGGTGATGTCCCTACCTTGGCCTCTTGTTTTCTCATCATCTTCCATTAAAACTTCCATTTCTTCCTCCTTCGATTCTTATCATACTTTCCCTCTCTGCTCCCAGGGCAGCTTAGTGTCTTCCAGCTCTTCTTTTTTCCTCTCCATCTGTATGATTCCTGTTACAAAATCTGGTCCCCCGTAGAAGGCCCAACGACCATGGCAGCGATAAAGATGTGTATCACTCTAGTGAACAGAAAGAGATGATGAGGCAGCCCTATAGTCCCACTGAAAGCCAGCTCTGATTGGAAATCTGCTGGAACTGAGGAGGACAGCATGACCTTAGGTTCCTTCTGGTCTCAAAGAATCTGCAGAGATGCTTCCAGACCCAGAAAGACACTCACAGCCAGCAAAGATGTCTTGGCTTGTTTAGGGTAGAACCCACATCTGGAAGGGACTTGCCTCCCATTTTGAGAAAGTTGGGAACTACCAAATTGCAGCTCTCAGGGTTACTAAAAAAAAAAAAGGCAATGTTCATTCTCCTATATCTTGCCTTTCTCCGGAAAGAAAAATGAAGCTTACAATTAGCCAGAGAAATAAAACACACAGAGCAATGTGGTGTGCTGTTCATGGTCTGGAATTTAGGCATCTCAGAAGAAAGGATAGGACTGGTTCTAGGAAAGAGACCCTTCTGGGGCCGCTGAGAAGAGCTCGTGGTGGGCTCAGCCCGTTTGCCTGATTCAGAAGCTCCCTAAGTGAATAGATCACAAACAAGAGAACCCTCAGAAGTGGATAGGCATAGGACAGGAAAGCCAGCCACAGTGAAAAAACATTTTGTTGGTTTATGAGGAGAGATACAGAGGAAATATGGGAGAGTGTTTATCGGTATAAATCCGTGAAGTTTAAAGTACGCAATCCATCGCCTCATTCTGTGTGCGTTCTCATAACTGAGCCTCAATCTGGGCGATGGTTAAAGTGACTGGGCCTCGCCTTTCCTGCGGGGCGGCCAGGCCAGGGCTCAGGACGCTTCCAATATTTACCGGCGGTGTGGCCTTGAGCGAGTCAGACTCTGGGAATCTGACTCGCGTCTAGAACGGAGCAGCCGCCTCTCCTTCGGGCTGGTTGTGAGGATTAAACGTCCGTGGAGGGACTGGTAAGCCGTCCAGGACACGGACGGGGTCCTTCCTCTTTCTTTCCACGTTCACTCCACCGCTTTTGATCTTCACAGCAGAACCGTGAAGGTCAAACTCTTTCTAATTCGCCTCTGAGAGAACAGTCGCTCGGGGAGATTATAGAACTTGGCCAAAATCTTTAGCCCCGTCCTGGGGTCGTGGGTGGAGCAGTGACTAGAACTCTGATCTGCTGAGGTTCGTAGCCCCGAAGTTCAGCCTCTTGGACCCACGAAGTGAGGCAAAGGCACGGCCTTCCTGCAGAACTGGAGCCGGGAGAGTAAGTTCAGGGGAAGGGCAGGGGGCGGGGAAAGCCTTGACTCGGGATTCCACGGCACCCGGCTCCTCCCGACCCTCGGCCCACCAGCCTGTGTTCGGAATTCAGGGGATGGGCAGGGTCTCCGCACTCCCTCCGCCCGCCCCGCCTGGGAGGGCCCCCAGTTCGCCGCTCCCGTCCCCGCAGGAAGATGGAAAGCCCGAAGGGCCCTGGCGGGGCGCCCCACCCGCTCGGGACCTTCCGGGGCTCGGCCACTGGGCGGAGCCTAGCCAAACAATTCAAAGCACGCGCCTGCGCGTCGCCATGGCAACGCGCGCCCGCTGCTAGGCGACCGGGAGGCGTAGTAAACCTCGGGCTGGGGTGTTACTCCGGGAGAGAGGGGGCTGCGGGGTGGCGGCGGGGACTCGCCTACGCTCGGGCCTCGCGGCTGCCGGGGGAAAAAGGAGAGGGCAGGAGAGAAAGAGACGAGGGCGGCGCACGCGGGATGGAAACGGGGCAGCCCAGTGCTGCCCGCCCGGGGCCGCGCCCTAAGCACCCCTCGAGAGGCCTCTCGCGTTAGCCCCCCGCCCCACCCGTCGGTCCCCGAGACCCACCCCCCCACCACCACCCCCCTCCCCCCCGCCCCAAGCAGGCCACGAGGGCTCTGTCACCCCAGCGTGAGCGATTGCCCCACAGGATGTGCAGATGGGCTGCCCCCCTGATTCACTCCAGCTGCTTGTGGCATGGAAAAACGGCGGCTTCCTCTCCTGGAAATGACTGCATTAGCAAAAGCCCTCAAACAATTCCATTAAAAAGCGGAAAGGGAAAAGACACAGAGAGGAGAGGCCCCCAGATGCTTTTCTTTGGGCCTTCCCACTGCACATAAGTAGATGTTCCCAAAACTCCGGGACCCATGTTAGGAAGACAGGAGTCGTTTTTTATTCTGTGAGCCCCTAGGGTCATGTGGACAAAAAGCATGGTTACATGAGAATTAACGTGACGCTAGGAAATCCCAGAGCTCAGTGTCCTAGAGTGGTGTTAGTATTTTGGGTACTCGGCATGGGCATTTTAGTGGCATTAGTCTTCCCTTTAGGGCTGGGAGGCAGCTATCAAAAATGTCCTGTGTGAACCTTCTTTATCTTCATTAATAAATGAGTCACATGTCAGGCATTGAAGTAAAAATTGTAATTTAGAGCTTCGAAAGCTCGGACGGTTCAAGATATGTCAGCCAAAAGGGCTCCAACCAGTGGGGAATCACCGAGCTTGGGAAAGGACATAACATTTCCAATCTGTCACTGGCTTGTGAGCAATCTGATGGTACCCTGGTGTCTGTGAACTGAAGATAATACTGGTTCATGAGATCATTGCTGTTTTCTGGGCTTGGCTGGTCAAACAGCAGGAATGTTTCCACAGGTGGGAGGAAATGTATTGGCAGAGGGTCTGTGTGATGAAACTCTGGGTGCATCTGTGTAGAAAGGCATAGGGTGTTTCTGTGGACCTGTGGACACTGCTCTTCTGTATGTGAAGCAGGAGGATTCGTGTTTCCTCTACAATAGAAGGCTGTTTGTCCACTTTTCTTATCTTATCTTCACCCATAGTCTTCCTAATTGTATTCTAATTGTATTCATGAGCCTGGTTTCCATTTCACACTTCATTCATTCATTCCATTCATTTGTGGCTGTTAGGGCTAGGCTCTGAGGATCAACAATGAATAAAGCATAGTTGCTACTGTATCTAGAAACTTAGCCAAGTGGGCAGAACAGCCAAGTAAACCATATGATGAGTTACATGAGACAAGCACACAGTAGAACACGCGCAGGAACAGAGAATAGGGTGGTGTAGATCAGAGCCAGTGACAACCGAGAAACATTTACTTACTCTCCATTCCAGCCTTTTGTCTGTCTACTGAGTAACAGAAAGGAGTTAGTTAACAGGACCTGGGTCAGAAATCTGACACCTGGGAGGACAGAGATACTACTATCTGTCCCAAACAAACCTCTCTTGGGACAAAATGCCAGAATGGATATATAAAAAAAAAAAATTTTTTTTTAAATGGGGATCCTGTAGCCCCAGGCTGGGACCTCAGGGAAGTGGTATGCTATACAATCTTCCACTGCTCAGCATCTCAGCATTCTTACGCATTGTTTTAATCACTTCTAATCTTCAGCGTAGTCACAAAGCAAACTGATTCCTGTTTACAAAGTAAATTCTCTTCATTCATACCTAGTAAATGTGGTTTTCCACAGTGCAGGGCGTGGTAACTTAAGACCTTAGCAAGACTAGGTTAGTCCCAGCCCTTGGCTTTGTGATGTCATAAAGGTTCAGTTGCACATACATCCCTGTGAGGTCAATCCTGAGATGGTAAAAGTCCAGCACACAGAAGTTCAATATTGTTTTTTGTTTGTTTGTTTGCGGTACGCGGGCCTCTCACTGCTGTGGCCTCTCCCGTTGCGGAGCACAGGCTCCGGACGCGCAGGCTCAGCGGCCATGGCTCACGGGCCCAGCCGCTCCGCGGCATGTGGGATCTTCCCGGACCGGGGCACGAACCCGTGTCCCGTGCATCAGCAGGCGGACTCTCAACCACTGAGCCACCAGGGAAGCCCTTCAGTATTGTTTTGAGATGTGGAATCTTCTCGTCTGTCTTGAATCATGAGCTTCTGAGCCTAACCAAATTATATTTATGTGGTATTGACTAGTGATTACTTTTTCTGTCCTAAGAGAAGAAAGAGAAGAAAAAAAATATATTAACATGCCCAAATTACAATGAAAGGAAGTGAGTAGGATGCTGGGCTCTGATTTTTGTGGCCAGGCAGAGAAACTCATGTTTTGTCAAAAAGAGGAAATTAGACCTTGTGGCCCAGGGTCCTTGGGGAGGGGAGGGGGGTGGTCTCAGCACTGAGCACAGCTAGGAGGCAGCCAGCCAAGCGCACACACTAAATGCACAGCCTCCTAAGGGGTAGATTCAGGCTTTGGGAAGGGCTAAAATAATATAATTCGAGAGGCCCTCTTTAAGAAAAAGAACACAAAATGACAAGTACAAATTAGCTAACAGCTAATTATTTCATCAGCTACACTCTCGAAACCCACCTCTAGACCTCCTCATGTGACCCACCTGAGACTCGGCCACTACCATCCCCTTTTCCCTGGAGAAGGCACACTTCGGGCTATTAAGACACAGAGGGCACGGTTTATGAGCAGAGGCAATAAAAACCCAAAGACAGAGCTCTGTGCCAAACGGTGACTCAAGCGGGATATGAGAAGTGTCTCCAAGTATTTGAGGGGTGGAAGCAGAGCGGAGGGAAGAGAATTGCTCACTGTTCTGGGGTGGAAAGGGAACGAGGATACGATTAACTAGAGAAAAATGTGCGCAAAACTCATCAGGAAACATTGGCTAACTGTGTTTGCTGTTACTGCGGAGCTGTATTTCCCATGGGAAGTATATGAGGACCTATTGAGTTACTGAAAACTAAAACTGGCCACCAGAAAAATGTGCCACGGCACACAGTCTTACAAGATGTCCTCAAGGGAGCAGCTGGATGGCCCCAGAGTTCGTTCTCAGCCCTGAATTCCAGAAGGCTGACGCACGGCTTCTATAGATTCGTGTGTGGGGAGGAGGCCAAGGGAAGAACAAAGAGCAAGAGCCCCAGCCTGCCCAGCGGGCAGCCACCTCCACCCAGCTTTGCCAACTGGCGGGGGAAGCTTGTGTCCGAAGAGGGAGACTATGGGGAGACAGCGCCACCCAGCGTTGAGATGAAAACTGCAGCCTAGAGACCAACAGCCAATTCAGGGGTAAAAAGTGACCACAAGCATCCCTGCTCCCTTCTCCCAAAGGAGAGGGAGTTCTGTCACCGTGCAGAAAGGGCCATTTGGGTGATACAGACATCACGCCTGGACAGAAGCACATGTGTAAAACGTGCTGTTAAGAGTAGAGAACATACCCGGTGACAGACTCATTTGGCTGGAGTGTGGACCAATTCAAATGCTCCGAGGGAAGCCTGCCTTTGATTCCCTAAACCAACTGCACAAACATAGGATGGGAAGACCATGACTTGGTTGGTGGCAAATCTGGACGAGGTGGCAGAAGGGCAGGGCAGGGTAGAGAGGCTTTCATTAAATGTCAACCCAAAGTGAATCAAAGAGGTGTGATTTTATGGTACATCAATCCCCTGGCTATATAGTTTTCAGTCTGTTCAGCTTTTTACTTGTTTTTTGGTCAGAGGGGCGGCTCCCAAGGTCCTCGCATGCAGAACCGGAAACCAGAAGTCCAGCCCTGGTTGGGTACCAAAATCTTTCTAAAATTACAGCTTCCTGGGCCTCACCCCAGAACCACGACGACAGCTCAGGATGGAGCCCAGGAATCTGCATATCTTCCAAAGTTGCAAAGATGTTCTGATGCTCAGTCAGAATTGAGACCTACTGCTCTTAAACAAGCAGCAGCCTTTGAGGACTTTACAGTCAAGGCAAACAATCAGAATGGAATCTAGAAAGCGTCATGGGAGGGGTAGAGTGTGACAAGGACAAAGAAAAGGGAACTGTTCTTAGGAAGCAACATTTTCAAAGAATGAGCGACTTTTATTAATCTTGATGAGAAGCAGATCACCAGGTAAAAGAGAAGACATTCCAAGAAGAAAGAGTATCTTCGTTTTTCTTTTTTTTAAGTTTTAGAAATCATTTTTTAAAAGATAAAAAATTTCATCCCTTTGCCCAAAGATTGGGAGAGAAATGGTAGATAGCTATAGCATTGCTGACCCTGGGATTTATTCATCTCCAACCCTCCTCCAACTGCATCCTCACCCCCAACCCTACTTAACACTCTGACGGTCTCAGGATGTTGGAATAATCCTTACCAATATCGCTAACTGGATGGTGGAGACCACCCACGACACCAAAAAGCCTTTTCATACCCATGGCTCCATGAGGCCCAGACACTGCAGGTCATAGAGCTTATTAAAGGCATGGAAAACCCAACACAAGGGAATGGGAGCTTTTGTAGTAATGGTGACTCTGGAATATTTTGTCTGCCATAAAATCAAGACCAGCCCATTCACACTAGTTACCTAGGGAATGGCAGTGAGATGGAAACTCAGTGATCAGGTACTCTTTAAAGAAATTTCCCTCTGCACATGCAGAGGTCCAGGTCCTTGCTTCTTATGCTGAATCCCAGATCCCCACTGGCAAGCTCTCCTGTGTAATCTCCCAGAACAGCTGGGTCATGATTGCATTGGCAATTATTAAATGCCCAAGTTCCCCACAAGGCAGCATTTAATCATGAGGTACTCCAAAAAATATGAGATAGAGGGGAGGGGTGTGGGAGGGGGAGGGAGGAGGGTGGAAAGGGAGTTTTCCTTCTTTCAACACTAAACCAAAGGGATTTGGAGCACGGATGGCACCTGCAGTCCTTCTGGACAAGCCACAAGATGCTGACCATGGCCAAGGTAAACAGCTTCCCTCTCTTATTACTCAGAACGTAGATTCCATAGCTGTTTTGCACCTGATTCTTTTAAGAGATGTGCCAGTCTCATCAATTTGCTCTCCGTACTAGCCTATGTTAAATCTGAGGGTTTTCTGTTAACCTATGTCAATGGAAGAATTACTGACATTTTCACATCTATGTACTTCCTAGTAGATCTGAGCAGGGAAGCCACACTCTGTCCCTTTTCTAGAGACTAAAGAGTCCCCTTGGCTTGGGGCTTATCAGTACATATGCAAAGACAGAACTTGTCTTCTAGCTGCTACCTCTTCATGATCCCCTTAAGGAAACCGTTGCCAGATTAGATTGTTCTTCCAATTCAAAAAGTATCTGGATCCTAGTGAGAAAAGGCATATTTTGGGGGGAGGAATAAAATATGTGATGAAGGGCATGGCACTGTGGGTGTTGAAGATAATTCTTGAAAATCCTTTTAAATGGATTCTCATTCGATGATCAAGATAATTCTTAAATGAGGCTCCTTGAGTCTGTCCTTGGTGGACACTCCTGGAAACAACCTCTTTGGGCTTCATTCTAAGCTCTTTTTCATTCTCTGTTTCCCAATTCCTTAATTTGGTTGTCAGCTTAGTGCTGCTACAAAGTGGTTGTACTGTGGCGAGGGGTTCATTATTCTTATATATGATCTGAAATGGATTGAGGGTAGAATTAAAATCTGATGTGATGTGATAGTAGATAAATCTCCAAAAGCCATAAGTGATTGAAAATAAAGTCGTCAAAAATGCAGAACTGCATAAATCCTTATTTCTACCTTAATGCAGGATGATTGATGAAGATGTCTTACCTTGAAGTCTATTTCCTAGTCAAGCAATGGATATAAAAATAGAAAGAATAACTAACTCATAGTAACAGAACAATGACAAAAACCAATAGGATTTTCATAACTAAAAACAAGAATAAAACATTCTTTTGCAGGAAGACGGGGGCCTCATAATGACTCCCATATCTGGCAATATAAGATCATCCCCCTTCCAGATGCCATGGCTTTTGAGTCCTCAGCAGGGTCACCCAGAAAATTCTTGATGGAGTTAATTTGTTGAGTGCTTAAAAAAAATCATATTAGCAAATTGCTTTTCAGAAGCTGTTTCATCATACGTTTTGCTTACTGGCTTTTTATATACATGAGAATCTGGTATATTTCTTATTGCCATTAAAGAAAAAAAGAAAACCTGCCCTTTGTGGTATGCACTGTTTTAGTGCCTGGAAATTCTGAAGAACAAACTGTTATGTTTCTAAGAGAGAGTTCCCTGTTTAATGTAGAAAATGTTAAGCTGGGGATGATGAGAGGAGATGGGCCTGTCTCATTTAGCTACGGTTTTATTTACATCTCTTAAGCTAAGCAGATTTGGGTCTGATTAATTCTGGTATGAGCGATCACCTAGAAAGCTCAAGATGGTTCACTTTAAGAAGGTGTCTGTCAGCAGCTAAGTACTGGTTTCTTCTCCGTTTGGTATGTAACAGTACAAACTGCTTTGTAATGCAAAGGTCTCAAAATCTGAGACCTGTCAGATTTCTTTATTTTTCTAAATCAGCTTAAATCTGGCTCCAAGCCACCACTCCCCAACATTGAAATATCTAATAGTGGACTTTTTCAGCTCACCCTTCTCTTCTCTTAGGCTAAAAATGACGAGGTCAGGGCCTCCAGCCAGAGCTACCCGGGCCACAGTCATTCTGCAGCCACGCACTAGGTTACCCCCCCCCACCCCCGGGGAGTCAGGCACTGCGGCTGCATCAGGCTGTGGGGCCGCTCCTGCACGTTCCTTGTCCCCACCCACCAAGGGCACCCTCCCGTGTCTCCAAGGTCACAGCACTCGGCGTCCAGCCTCCATGGGTACCATGCAGCCACCCGGCATTTGAGATTCTGCCATCTCAGGGGCAGTGGATGGAAGCTTGACCCATATTGCCACCTCTCTGAGAACCCATAGCTTCATCTCCTCTCCAAGGGTTGCAGCATCCCCACATCCCAGTTGGTCCACTGCCCTCTTATCCTCAAGGGCCCAGTGCCTCTATCTGCTCCCCCAGGGAGGATCCACTTTAACATTCGTTGACAGGATATATGCCCCTTTACTCCTCTCAGAGGAATCTAATGCAGGGAGGAAAACATCCAAAACTTACGCTGTCACAATAACAAATACCTCCACAAGTCAGTGCTGCTACCTTTCAAGGAAGACAAAGCCAAAAATTACCAGCAGGAGCATTTGAAGAGCTCCCAGTTCTTTTTCTCAACCAGATATATACTAGCTCAGCGGCTTAGTCTCATTATTATCCGATGCTTATTCAGATTATCCCCAATAAGCGTTTTAATATAATAAGGTCCGGCTTAAATAGACATCATCACTACGGTGCCTACTCTGGGCCACTCCTGGAGCCTGAGCTTATTCACGGCTACTTGGAGAAAACTCCCAGTGGCTCGTTGTGCCCGTCTTGTTGGAGGAAAGTGGCTCGAGCTTAGGAAGCTGCAGGGTAGGGCACCGATCTCCGAGGAGGCTCTGAAATCAGGCTCCGCTCTTGTGTTTGTGTTACAGATGGAGCTCCCAAAGGCCTTTTCTGACCAATGGACATGCCTATCTGCCTTCCTCAACATGCTATCACTCAGCCTTTCCACAGCATCCCTGCTCAGCAACTACTGGTTTGTGGGCATACAGAAGGTGCCCAAGCCCCTGTGCGGGAAAGGTCTGCCAGCCAAGTGCTTTGATGTGCCGGTGCCCTTGGATGGGAGCAGCACAAATGTATCATCTCTGGAGGTGGTGCAATACAGCTGGGAGACTGGGGATGACCGCTGCACCTTTCATGCCTTCCGGAGTGGCATGTGGCTCTCCTATGAGGAAATCGTGGAAGACCCAGGTGGCCCCTCACCCCACCCACCTGATATCTTTTCCCCACCAGGGATCTCATGCAGGCAAAGAATCAGTGGGATTCTTTGTACAGCCCTCACTCACCCCTGCCGGGCCCCACCTCCGCCTCGGGGTGTCCCCACTCTGCATTGTGTCCCTTCCCCATCAGACTCCCTCGTAATAAGGTCCAAAGTCCATCCATCTGGCGTTTCACCTCCAGTCTCGCTGGTTTCAAACAGCATTACCCTTAAAGGGTTTCATGCAGTCTTTTTTTTTTTAAATTGGGGTAGAGTGGTTTTACAATGTTGTGTTAGTTTCTACCGTACAGCAAAGTGAAGCAGAGTCCCCTGTGCTCATGCAGACTTTTAACATTATGAGAATTTCCATCCCAGCGAGCTAGAGTTGCCTAGACAAAACGAGGAGAATATCATAGAAAGAGCCGGGGCTCTGCCCAGCTGTGACCTTATAGGAAGAACTTCATTCCTATAGGCCTTGATTTTCTCATTTGTGAGATGCAGGGATCAGAGTAGATCGCCTTTAAATAAGACCCCAAAAGGGTGTTCTCATTCTAAGTGTTACTGCTACAATTGAAAAGGTAGGGGAACTGAAGCCCAGAGAAGATAACTAGATTGTGGAAGTTGGACCCAGACAGACCCTCCCATGTCTCACACCGCTGGGTCTCACACTCGCAAAGCAGGCGCTGTGCCAGCCCGTTAGGTAAGGGTCGTCCTCGGGTGGGGAGCAGTGGGGTTGAGGACATCCCCTCCTCCCTGCTCAAAGCATGCAAAGATACCCCTGGTCGTGAAGTTTTTCTAAAGCCCAGAACTGTGTACAATTTGCAATCTGCTGCTTCTCCCAATTTAGGCTAAGGGGAAGAGGAGATGGGACAGGATTATAATTCGTGTGTATTTACATTTATACTTGAGTTATTATTGTGCCACTTAGCACTGCTCCAACTCCAGTTCCGGAAACAGTTTAGAACCCTGCAGCCCAGTGGTACAGCAGGAGCAAAAGGTGCTGGTGAACCAATGCTGGGGACATTCCCCGGGGTGACTCAGGGAAGTGTACTCTTCATTATCAGGACTTGAGAGAGAAGTTAATCTTGGATGACTCTGGCCTATTTTGTTCATCCATCCATGCATCCTTCCCTGCTTCCAAAGAGACATTTATTGCCTGCCTACCACCTGCGGGGCAGGCCTGTGTAGGACCAAATGGAGCAGTACCTGGGATGGGACTGGGGAAAAGTCTGCATCCCTCGTCCAAGGCAGCACCTCATCACCTTGTCTGGTACCTTGTCTGTTTCAGGGGAGAGGTGCCGAAGTTTCCTTGAACTCACACCACCGACCGAGAGAGGTGAGAAAGGATTACTGGGATTTGCCACTTTGCAAGACCCATGTAACCCCTCTCTCCGATTTGGAGGGAAGCGGTTGGTGGAGAAGGCTTTCGTCCCCCACCTTCCCTTGGGGCTTGGGGCAAGTATGTGGCTTTGATAACAAATTTAGTTGCCATTGAGTTGGGCCTCTGAGTATCTAAACTGTACTGTGATCTCTTGCTTTTCTCTTCTGAGCCCCACAGGGTAACACAAACTCCTGCTAGGCTGACCCTCATTCCTATGCAGGAACGCAAAAAAGGAACAGCAGGGACAAATAAAGTCCACAAATAGAAATCCACCAACAGCTCTAACCTACTCCAGTTGCCAAGTAACCATGTAGAAAGCTTGGGTTTTTCCTCCCCCACCCCCACCGCCCCCGATAATTTTATCGTGACATAGAAAGAAGGGAGTCAAAGAGGGCAAGGCGGGGGTAGGGATGGGGGGAGGAAGAAGAGAAACAAAATGGATTGCTCCAAGATTAAACTTTAAAACAAAGGAGAAACAAAAATGATAAATAGCAAAGTCATATCCCTGCAAGATTCGGTGACACTTGAATGATTTCTTCTCAAACCTCCCTAAGAGTATTTACAGTCAATCAAGTGTACTTGGCTATGGACTGGGTACTGAGCAGAGCGAGAACAAAGAGCCCCAGGCTAAGGACTGTCCCAGCTGCTTTCACCTCTGTCTCCTCCTCTGGTGCTGTGAGGCTCTCCACTTCTCATGGGCAGCATTTGTTCACCACCGGTTCAGTTAGTTAACTGTCAGGGTGAGGGTTCTCTTCCCTCTGGTTTCTGACAGAGATCCTACGGTTATCACTGGGAGTCCGATTCGCCTACATCAGACTTGAACTCATCAGCTTCCTCCTCCTACTGATGGACTTGCTATTCACGGGGAACCCCGGCTGTGGCCTCAAGCTGAGCACCTTCGCCGCCATCTTCTCCGTCTTGTCAGGTGAGCATTTCCAGATCTGGAGAGGACGGTGGGTGTTCTCTGCTGCTGCCTTTGAAGCACTAGCCGGAGGGCTGGAGTCTCTGTCCCAAGGGAAGCAGGAGCCCCAAGGCAGTCTAAAGAATGGAGCCAGGAGATAACCGCACAGGCGTCTTTAACTTTAAATTGAAATAACCCGCGAAATGTTATATTAGATCATTATGTCCTTTGCTAAATGATTTCTCTCTAGGTTCTTTTGATTTGCAAGTTTTCTCATTATGTACAATACAGTTTGGTTTACTTTTTTTTTTTTTTTTTTTTTTTTTTTTTGTGGCAC